GGTGTCGCCCGCGGATGCGCCAGGCAGGCTCCCAAGTCGCCAAGGGTCAAAGTATCGTCCCAGATAAGGCCCTGGTGACCCAGCTCCAGCTGCCACACACGCCCAGCTCCAGCGCCTCCGCCTCAGGCCTGGGACTTTCCTGTCGTTCGGGGCTGGCTCACCCCGTCCCTGGACTCAGCTTCCCCCCAAGCCTCCGCCTCCCCTGTTCCTGTCTCCTAGCCCTAGTTCCCAGGCAAGGACTCCTGGGTCCAGCCACGGAGCTCCAGGCATGGGCAAGTCCCTCACACCTAACCCCAGCCCAGCTAGCCCTAGCCAGGAGGTAGAAAGTGTCAGTACCTGTCTTCATCTTCTGAGACCCTGGGTGAGCCAGCTTGCTTCGGGGAGCCTCAGTTTCTTCATCTGTGTAATGGACGTAACCCTAGCTATCACCCTGTAGTCATGGTTAAGAGTTACAGATTGCGTGCAAAGACTTGTCCTGGTCTCATCTGAGTACTCTAATTGTCATTGTTGATTCTAGGGGACAGAGGGGCTCATGAAAAGGTGGGGGCCTGGAGACTGTGGGGAAGTGATGGACAGAGCCTTGTTGTGTGACCCTGGACAGGTCTCTCACCCTCTCTGGGCCTTGGTTTGCCGAGCCGCCTGGGTTGGAGGATACCCAGAGACCAGGATTCTATTATCTGGCAATTGGTTGACCTGCCTTAGATTGTTGGGGACAGACCAGGGTAGGGCTAGGGTAGAGTTGTTGGAGGCATTTGGACTTTAGCTGGGAGGTGTCGGGAGCCCCCAGACAGTAAGGTCTACAGAGCTGAGCACTAGAGACACTCTGGTGGAGGAGCTGGGCCTGGCCACAGAGGGGCTTAGCATTGTTGAATGACTGACTAAGCAAACTGACTCAGACATGGCGACAGCAAGTGTTGGGATAAATGGTTCAGTTGAAAGGGGCTGATGAATGTCCTGTCTGTACCTGGTCCAAGTTGAGTAGTGATCCTTTCTGGGCAGTCAGGAGGGCTTCCTGGATCAGGAACGATGTAGATGGGCCACGCAGGATGAATAGGAGTTTGCCAATTGGAACAGACTTCTAGAAGTGGTTTCCAAAAGGAAGAAACAGCCTGAACAAGGGTTGGTGATTAAACCACCACACCTGTTGCTTCCTGGAGTCTGCCCTTTTCCCCACTGGAGAGGCTGGGGTGAAGCCTCAGCATTGGTCCTGGCCTCCCTGACTTGGTTTCCTTGTCCACAGGCCCCTATGGGTGGCATTGATGTGTGCCCTGATCTTGGGTCTGCTCTTCATGGCCATCTACAGTTTGTCCCACGGCGAGATCTCCTATGACCCACTCTACGCTGGTGAGTCGGTGGGAGGTCGTGGGGAGGAGGACTTTCTGGACAAAGGCCTCCGCCCTCAGACTTGGGGCCAATGAAGGGCCTCTTCCCTCATACTAGGGGCCCTTGAAGAGCTCCCACCACACTGGAGATCTCAAAGAGACTAGAACACCCCCATTAGGTTAGGGAGCGCTTTTTTTTGAGTCGGAGTCTCGCTCTGTCACCCAGACCGGAGTGCAGTGGCCACTCCCGGCCACCGGAGCCTCGACCCGCTGGGCTCCGGCGATCCTTCCGCCCCAGCTTTCCGAGTAGCTGGAACTACAGGTGTGCACTACCACCCCCGGCTGATTTTTTGATTTATTGTAAAGATGAGGTC